CGTAGCCGTTGCGGAGAGAGGGGCTCCCGCCGTGACGGGACACCCGGAGGACCTCCAGACACAGCACGCTCAGGCTCAACACCCCGAGGCTCAGCACCCCCAGACTCAGCACCCCCAGGCTCAGAAACCCCAGGCTCCACACGCTCAGGCTCAGCACCCCCAGGCTCCGCATGCTCAGGCTCAGCACCCTCAGGCTCCGCACCCTCAGACTCAGCAACCCCAGGCTCAGCACCCCTAGGCCCCGCACCCGCAGGCTCAGCACCCCTAGGCCCCGCACCCGCAGGCTCAGCACCCCTAGCAGCACCAGAGTCGACAGCTACCTCGACAGGCTCGACAGGGTCTACCTGGGACACACCTGAGGGGGCAGGACCCTGAGGGGGGAGCGGGTCAACCGGAGGAGCACCTGGTGCTAGGAAGAGGGGCGGGGGGGGGGGGGAGAGGCTGTGCGGTAGGGAAAGAGACGGTAGTAGGATCGACTCGTCAAACATGACGTCCTGAGAGGACAGAAAACAACGCGAGGTGGGGTGGTAAAACTGCCACCCAGGTGCGTCAGGGGGGAAGCCAAGGAAGACGCACGGAACGGCACGGGGAGGACAGCTTGTCCGCGGAAGTATCGCGGACAAAAGCTCGAGATCCCCAGACATGGAACACAGACGCATCGCCAACCTTCCCCATCCACCGCAGAGTAGGTGTGGTCTCCGGCAAGGAAACACGAGGCTGAAGGTTGATCTGATGCGCAACGTACTGAACCGCGAACGGCCACAGAAAATGGGGAGCAGTCGCATGGATCATGGACGTACGAGCGACGTCCATGACCATACCAATGCGGCGCTCAGCAATCCCATTTTGCTGTGGGGAGGCCGGAAGCGTGAACGTCTGGCGGATGCCCTCCACACAACAGAAAGCCATCAGAAGGTCGGAGGAAAACTCACCACCTCTGTCTGAGTGCAGACGCAGAACAGGAAGGTCCGAGCCGAAACTCTCGCTGAGCTGGCGACGGTCACCGCGGATCCAGTCGATCAACACCTCAGTGACCTCTCCCTTGCGGCGCAAGGGGAAGACTGTGGTGTAACGCGAGTAGTCGTCAACGACCAGCAGGAAGTAACGCTCGTGACCCTGTCCACTGACACGGGCTAGGCCCCACACGTCCATGTGGAGAGTCTGCAGGGGAGCCTCTGTCGGAGGGAACTCGGAGGAGTGAGGGGCGGCGGGCTGCCGGCCCTCGACACAAGGAACACAGGTAGGGTCAGGCCCCGGAGGAAGGGGAGGGAGGGACCTGGGGAGACCAGAGACAGGGGTACGGGAGGCCATACCTCGAAGACGAGGCAGGGAGGGGTGACCAAGGCGGTGGTTCCAAAGGAGAGTCTCGTGTGACAGAGGACGACCCAAGCAGGGGGCAGACGCGGGAGTAGACCTGGACGCGGCAGCAAACACCTAACCAGACGCGGCTACCTGACTAGACGCAGTAACCGGAGGAGACGCAGCAGTCAGTGTGTACAGACTCGACCCAGGCGGACGGGTGAACGTGGCCAGGTGGCGGCCCGTCCGAGAGCAAGTGCAGTGGGTCACACGCTGACCTCCAGGGGTGAACTGGTCAACCCACAAGTCCTGAAGGTCAGCTCCACTCACCAAGTTCGTAGAGAACGAGGGGAGGTGGAGTCCCGACAGCAAGCCCGACGAGGCCGCAGGACACGGTAGAACCGTGGAAGAGTGTGCAAGGACTGGGCCTCTAGAGGGGTCAGCCAAGGAGACTGCGACAGGCCGACTAAGCGGCGTGAGTGTGGTGCTGTCGCGAAAGAAGGAGCGCGAAGCACCAGAGTCAAGTGTGAAAGTGTGCAAGGCCTCAGTAGGTGCAGTACCAGAGAGAGCAGACTCACCAGCACCTGGAGCAGCAGACTCACCAGTACCTGGAGCAGCAGACTCACCAGTACCTTTAGCAGCAGACGCACTAGCACCTAGAGCAGCAGCCTCAATGCCCGGGTCAGGCGGAACACACAGGTAACAGTCACCCTCAGCACTATCAGTCACAGCATACATGGCAGCAAGGATAGCATCGAAATCAAGATCAAAGATAGCAACGTTCTTCTTAATCAGATCACCCCAGCGCGGGAGCTCAACAGCGTCAAGAAACTGGGCGCGCCAGGCGTCAGTCAGGCGACCGAAGCAGCGCTGTGCAGTGTGTGGCAGCCCGCAAGTCTCCCCACGGCGCCCGCCGATGCGAAGAACGTAAGTGCAGGGACCAACACCCCCAGACCTCCCACGCCCAGCGTACCACTCACGAAGCTGCTGGGCCGACGGGGTCTCACGGGAACGCGGCTGCTGCTGGCGCTGGCTACCACCAAAGCCTCCACGCTGCGCAGCTCCACCTCGACCAGCTCCACTGCTGCCGCCACCTCCACCACCGCTGCCGCTGCCTCCACCGCCGCTGCCGCTGCCTCCGCCATCCCCACCGCCGCCACCGAAGCCCCCACTCCTGCCACCACCCCCACCTCCACCGCCACCCCCTTCGCCTCCTCCACCGCCTCCACCGCCGCCCCCACCGTCTCTTCCACCACCCTTGCCCCCCTTGCCCTTGCTGTTGCGGCGCCTCCCACTAGGAGCAGACGCAGCCCCGACCTCCGCGCCAGCGTGGTCGACAGCAGCAGCAGAAGCAACAGAGGGGAGAAGGGGGACAGGGGAACACCCCTCAAAGAAAGGGGTGCGAGGGTCACCGCGAGAAGCACCTACAGCTAAGATACTCTTCTCAGCTGCAGTGAGGCGCTCCTCTAGCAGGTCGACGGTGAGCTCGGTGGGGCAAAGGGAGAGAAAGTGGTCCCTGGCTGAAGCAAAGGAGTCAAAGAGGCGGGTGACTAGGTAGTAAAGGGTGATGTACATGGGGGGAGGGTTCTTGGCACAGAACTCAGTGGGAAGCGCATCACGGTAGCGGGCGTCACTAGTGCGGAGGTGAGTAATGAGGTCAGCGACTGTGGCAAAGGCGGCAAGGTCAGGGAACAGGTACGGCAGCATGAGGCGGCTGAGGGCAGCAGTGGCAGGGGAGGAGTAGCGCGCTACGACAGCGTCATACAAAGACTTAGCAGTCTTGTACTGGCCAAAGTGCGCACGCTCAAAAGACGGCAGGTGACTACGAACAGCAAGGCGAGCAACAGCGTCACGAGTGGTTCACTGCGAGCGAACCGTACTGTCAGCAGTGGCAGCAGGTGCAGGAGAGACACCAGACGTGTGATCCAAAAGGGATACTCCGTCCTTAGAGTCACACTACAGAAAGAGCTGCAGGTCGTCAACCCACACGTCAAAGTCAACCGCACGCCCCTCAGCATCAAAGGTAAGAACAGTAGGGCTAGCCATAGCGGCAGTGGCTGCAGTAGCAGCAGTAGCAGCGGTGGCAGCAAAAACAGTAGTAGCAGCAGGAGCAGCGCAGGCAAGGCAGTGCGGCTCAGTAGGGCGGCGCGGCTCGGCAGGGCGGCGCGGCTCGGTAGGGCGGCACGGCTCGGCTGGGCGGCGCGGCTCGGCTGGGCGGTGCGGCTCGGCTACTGGCGGCGCGGCGCGGCAGGGCGGCGCGGCTCGGAGGAGCGGCGCGGCTTGGCTGGGCGGCCCGGGCGCTTACCAGGGGCGGGTGCAGGGCCGCGACTGTGGCGGTAGCAGGGCAGGGCCGCCACTTGGTGGCGTCAGCGCAGGGCCGCGACAGGGCGGCAGCAGGGCAGGGCCGCGACAGGGGCGGCAGCAGTGCAGGGCCGTGGCTGGACGGCAGGGTAGGGCAGGGCCGCTACGGGCCGTCAGGGTAGGGTTGCGACGAGTAGCGGCAGGGCAGAGGCCGCGGGTGGCGGCAGGGCAGGGCCGCGACGGGCCGAGAAGGCAGGGGGCCGCGACGGGCCGTTAGGGTAGGGGGCCGCGACGGGCCGAGAAGGCAGGGGGGGCCGCGACGGGCCGTTAGGGTAGGGTCGCGACGGGCCGTTAGGGCAGGGCCGCGACGGGCCGAGAAGGCAGGGCCGCGACGGGCGGCTCTAGGGCAGGGCGCGCGACGGCGTAGGTGAGGCAGGCGCGAGGCGTGGTTCGGGCAGGGCAGGAAAAAAAATCGTGGTGGGCCCTAAAAAAAAACGTTCCCACGAGGGAACCTGCTCAGAATACCATGTCAGAATAGTGAACAAAGGAATGACTGAATGAGCAAGCAGGTGGGTACAAGTAGGAAACCTAAATGTGTTGTACCCTATATGAACTACCCCACTACAGCCTAGACAGACTATAGCATATATGTTTGACAGTATTCAACACAAAAATCATGCATTCGCGCTCGCCATGGACTCAAGCGCACTTGTCGTGACTGTAGGTACCTAGCATTCAGTCTCCTTTAGACTGTGACCCATCATTGTCCAACTTTGAAATTGCGGAATGCTCAGAGCGGGTCATGTGTGTTCGTTCACTTTTGAATTTGAAAGGGTCATTGTGGTACGCAATGGTCTGAAACGGTGAAACGCGCGGACCATTTCGACCCGCATCAAACAAACCCGAAACGATGAATATGACTCACCCTCATAACTCTGAGGTCAAGAAGAGCTCGCTTTTCTGAACTCTCAAATTTTCGCGAAAGCACTTGATGGCAATGGCTCCGTTACAGTGCGAGACTTGTTCTTGTTATAGTACCAGCATGATATATCCCAACAAGTTGTTGTTGTTGTTCTTGTTGTTGTTATTGTTTTTTTTTTTTTTCGTATCATAGTCTTCTACCACTATAAGCTTTCTCTGCCTTAACAGCCTTTTCAACTCCTACCCCTCCACCACCCTCATCGCATCAATCGCCAGAACCATTTTCGGCATGAAAGCACCCACTGCTCCGTCATCCAAATAAGCCATTCCTTGGATGCTCACTACCACCCTACCCTCCCCTGCTGCTCCTTCACAACCCCCCGCTCGCCCACCCCCAGGGTGTACCACGAGATTTCCTTAACCAGGCCACCTCCAATCCAACCCCTTATAGAGGCTATATTCACTCAAATCATCCTTCCCTATCCCTTCTGTGGTTCATCCACATACCCTGCAGCACGGCCCTCCCTCCCCTCCACCACCCTCACTGCATCAATCGCCGGAGCCACTCTCGGCATGAAAGCACCCACCCCTCCACCATCCTCCCTTCCTCCCTCATCCCCTCCCCCTCTCGCATCCCCTGTCCCTCTTGCATCCCCTCCCCCTTCCCCAGACGCCCCCCCCGGCGTCCCACCAGGCACCATGAACCAGGGAACCTCCAGCCCCTTATAGTCACGCCACAGTGCTAGGAACTCCGATCCCGATCGCGCCTCCACCAATGCTGACGTGGCGTACCCCGATTGGCCGGACGCCCGCGCCAAGTCGGATGAAACGGGCAGAGCAAAAAGAGCCATGTCCTGCCAGACAGCCAAAGATTGATCCGATGCTGCTGCTGCCGCCGCCGCTGCTGCTGGTGCTACTGATAGTGCTGATGATGATACTTTGTGACGGGCGGGGGAAACCAATGATCCTTTCACAAACGAGAACCGAGGAGCCACATCCTCTCCACCTTCCCCATCTCCTTCCCCATTTTCTTCCCCTGACCCTGCCTCTCCCTTCCTCACCACTCCACTTCCTTCCCCCCCACCCCAGCACCATCCAGCAGCATCTTGTACTCACCCGTCCACTCCCGCCCCTCTTCCAGCGCCATCAGCGGCGCATAGAACGCCCTGCTGCCACCGCTGCTGCCACCGCTGCTGCCCTGCCCCATGCCATCCAGCAGTACACCCTCCACACACGCCACCAGCACCAGCACGTCACACTCAGGGAAATCCGCGAGCTTCTCGGGTATGATCCGCCGCCTGATCGCAATCACGTACGCCTTCTTTCCTGCGGCTATGGCTACAGCTACGGCTACGGCTATGGCTACGGCTGCGGATCGAATTGGAGCGCAGTGACAGCATCCAGTACTCCCGCATCACCGCAGTCCGATGCCTTCTTATTATGCATTATTCTTCCACACCTCTCCCTTCCACAATATCAATCACCTCTGTTGACATGTCTGCAACTACGAATGCTAGAGGTTGTCCGAGCTGTATTCGGTCTTCCACAGGCCCCCTTTGTCTTTATCAACACTGTACGCATCAACCAGCTCTCTATTCACACTGTGCATCTTCTCCCGCACGTTCTTCGGCCGCTTATCCGCAAAGCAAGCGCATGGCACACCACTTCTTGCCTCCCTCACGTGCACCACAAGGGTCTCAGCCAAATGTTTCCTCTGCTTCTCCCAGTAAAACGAGCGGCGTGAGATGCAGTACAGGGCAAGAGAGAGACAGAACTCATGGAGGGAATCAAGGGTTTGCTGCTCGCATGTGCGGGTGGGGAAGAAGATTGATCGCAAGTTTGGAGCCAAGATAACGGAGGTCTAGATTCTTGCTGCTGCCCCTCCTGCTCCTCCTCCTCCCCCTGCTGCTGCTGCTGCTGCTGCAAAACCTGCAAAAGTTGTTGTTGTTGCTGCTGCTGCTCCTGCTGCTCCTGCAAAAGCTGCTGCTGCTGCTGCCGCTGCCGCTGCGGCTGCTGCTGCCGACGCTGCTTCTGTTGCTGCTGCTGCTGCTGCTGCTGCTACTGCTGCTGCTGCTGCCACTGCCACTGCTGCTGCTGCTGCTGCTGCTGCTGCTGCTGCTGCTGCTGCTGCTGCTGCTGCTGCTGCTGCTGCTGCTGCTGCTGCTGCTGCCACTGCCACTGCTGCTGCTGCTGCTGCAGCTGCAAAATCCGCTGCTGCAAAAACTACTGCTCCTGCCGCTGCTGTTGCCGCTCCTGCTGCCGCTGCTGCTGCAAGAGCCTCTGGTTGCGCTCCTGAATTTCCTCCACTGTAACCTCCCTCTCACCATCATCCCTGCACTTCTCAACCTTCAAATCCACCTCAAACCGCTCCTCACTCTCCACGACAATCCCAAGGCTGCGCAGGCAGAGCCACTCCGCGTCAACCTCCTCTACAGGCACCCCATGCCTCACTATAATCACCTCCACTGTTGGCGCTATAATGCCCAACCATTGAACCTAGGAGAACTCAGCAGAGCTGCGGCGGTGCATGCTCTGCTTGTCAGGAGAAAGTTCAGGTGAAAGTTCAGACGACAATTCATAGAAGTCCAGGTTGGAAGAGTAGGGGTCATGAGAGTAGTGGTCATCGTGGGGATGGAGGTCTTTGGGAGGGCCGTTGAGGTAGGCCACTCGTACGGAAGCGAGGTGGAAGGAGGAGATGACAAGCCGCTGCTGGCCATACAGTGAGAGGTGGTGGAGGGCAAGAGGTTCGGTGCTCTTGCAGGTAAGCACGAGCCTCTTGGCCATGGCTGAGAAGGTCTCGAGCGAGGTAGAGAGGGTGAGGAAGAGCTTGAGGCTGCTCTGGGGGAAGTAAAAGCAGACGATTTGAGCCTTCGATAAGTCGAAACGGAATGTGCCGCCGCCACCGGGGCCTGGGGATGGGTCCTCCAAATTCCAGCTATGATGTAGCGTGAATTCCGCCAGCCGCGGTGTGACCGTGCCCAAATACTTAACATCCGCATATTCCCAATCCACGTGCTTGAGAGTCAAGCTGCGCAACGACTTGAACCCCTCAGCCCAGCCGTGCTGCAGGTTCCACCTGCCCCGGCCGAGCTTCAGCCGCTCCAGAGCCGGGCAGTCCAAGGTGCAGGTCCAGGGAATGTCCTCTACTTGGTGGTACTCAGCATTCAGGTAGGATTTGTCGACACAGCCGCGCAGCTTGAGAGTGAGCGAGGTGAGGGAGGCGAAGGTCCGGTTGAGCGGCGAGTGAAGTTTGTCGTGCTGGTGAAGTGCGTGAAGGTGAGCGCGAGGGACCTGAGGCTGCGGCGCCAGTGCAGGAAGAAAGTGACGCTTTTGATCCACTACGGGTGCAGCTCGTTGTATACCAGCGCGATGGGGTGGTGGGACTGCAGAGAGGGAGGGTCGGATGAGATTGGTTATTGGCATTTGAGTTGACTCAGAAGTCAGCTCGGCGCCGGCGCAGGAAGCAGGCAACACTCTTGCTCCACTGCGGGTGCACCTCGTTGTAGACCAGCACGATGGGGTGGTGGGCCTGCAGAGGGAGAGACGGGCGAAGGAATGGAGGCACCGGAAGCATGGTGGAACTTAAAAGGGTGTGCGTTTCGAAGTAAAGGAGAGCAAGTGCAGGGCAGAGCAGTGAGGAGCAGAGCAGAGAAGGGCAGATAAGAACTCACGGAGAAGGAGAGCAAGTGGTAGAGGAGCCTCTTGCTGGCCATGGCGCAGCACAGCAGCGCCCACCCACTGCCATAGCTCCTCGCGTTCTTCCAGTGCTGCCCGGCTGCTGAACAATGAGGGTCCGCAAATCTCACGGGCAGGTTTTTGCGTGCTGTGGGCTGCTCTGTGGCGGCGAGATACCATGGAGTGATTTGTCTGCCCCGGACAAGGGGAGTCTCAGGGTGGGAGGATCCGGGTGGCAGCAACAGGTAGCGGAAGACTTTGTGCCAGAGGTATGCCGGCAGCCTGTCTATGGGATCACTGGGGGTGGCGGTTAGAAGGAGAGATGGGTGGGAAGAGTGAGATGGGTGGGAAGGGTGAGATGGGTGGGAAGGGTGAGATGGGTGGGAAGGGTGAGATGGGTGGGAAGGATGAGATGGGTGGGAAGCAACAGGGAATAGAGTTGTTTGAAAAAAAAAAGAGTAGATGTTTGTTTTTGTAGCGGCTGTGATTCTCAAGCCTTGAAAACGGGTATGTACGGCGAAAGTACTTGCGAAGGGCTTTGAAATGGAACTGTTTTGAGTAACCGCCTAAAAAAATAACATTTTTCTCCGAGTTTTCCGTTTGAGCATCTCCTTTGAAGCTCGCGAAGTGCTTCGAGCACTTCTCGTAAGGCCCCTCCTCACCTTACCATCACTAAAAAAACTCCATGGTGCAGAGAATGAGAATGACGTATTCGAGATGCGGGTTTATTTACTCCACGATCTAATTTTCTGATACTCTTCCCTAGTACGAGTGACAGAGAGGAGAAAGTGGAAACGACGTAAAAAACGGTGCAGGGTGAAACGGTTAGGCATTAAAGTGGGATTGGCAATGAATGAGGTGCTAGGTAGTTGTTTCGCAGTGCGCGTATAGCTCGTGAGGAAGAAAAAACAGGAACGGAGATTAACAGAGGGAGGAGAGAAAAGAAGGAGGTGGAGGGGAGAGGAACTAGTGTCAAGGAATGCCTGGAAAAGTTCACTGAAACTCTCAAATCTTTATTTCAGATAAGTTATCTAAGCAGGAGCTTGAAATTTAGGTGCTTCTCGTTCGGAATGTGAAGGTGAGAAGTGGGATGCTGCGTCGCTAAACAATAGCAGCCCTTGCCTTCCGTGTCAGCATTGTTCTTCTGTCTCTTCTTCTCCCTTCGCTCGGCGCGGTCTCTCAGTTCGCCAGTAGGCTGCAACGCTGCCATGGAAAATAAAGTATCGTAAGCTCCCACGTCGCCAGTGGTAATCACGCAATCTTAAATAGACGCTATGTATTCATCACAAAAATCATGCATTTTCCCTAGTCATTTAGACTCGAGCGCACTTGTCATCACGACCATAGGTGCCTGGTATTCTATCGCTGGTTGTTCAAACGGCTGTGTAAGGAATTTTCTCGACATTCCTTACCGCGACCGTCAACATCGCGTACAGCAGCAGCCGTTGTTCTCCCGTTACTGCTAACAGGGCTTCGCCAACTTCGCGCGCAATGTTTCACCAAACCTCGCATTGCTGGAGCAGCCGAGTCAGCCTATGCTTCGGGACTAGCCCGAACCTCGCGCCAGCGTAGTGATAACTAGATCGCACGCACCGCTTTACTGTTTGCATTCTTCGCGTATAAGTATTCGCTCATGCCTTCGCTCATACTTTGTACTCATTGAACACTCTAGTGCAATCCTCGCTACCTCGATTCATTGCACCCGTAATACTTGGTTATCAGAGCCACTTTCCTTTCGGACCGCGCATCTCCGCACCCCAGGAAACCAACTTTTGATTTTTTCACTCGAAGGGACTCACACCCCTTAGCACCTAGGATCCGCTGTCCTCGCTTTCTCTCGTAAACGCGTGCAGCCACGACTGCGTCTAGACTAAGCTGAGCCGTCGCCCTTTGCCATGGCTAAACACATCGACGTCACTACGCACACGCAGGACCGTTTGAGCGAACTGCTGCGGCAACAACACGAAAACTCTGAAGAAATTGCAGCGCTGACGGCAGAACGCACGTCCCTGCAGAATGATGTCGCACGAGCACAGCAAGCACAATCGTAAGCACCTGGCACTCCGGGACAACCTGCACCACAGACATCGCAGCACGGAAGTGTGGGGCAACCCGCGAGCGCGGCTAGTGATGGAGACGGGCGAGAACGACGGAGACGACGACCACGGCACGACACACACCGAAGCGATGAATGCGGCCAGGAGTCAACCCCGCGTCACGATTTCTGTGCCGGCCGGCAAATCAACACTGCAGTCGCCGATGCCGCTGAAGCCGCAACGTCCGCCATGCTTTGACCCGAGTCAACAAGGTGGCTATTCACGTTGAACGTTTTCTTCGACGCCAATTACGTCTCGGAGGATACGGCGAAAATTCGCTATGCGGTGTCGCTGCTGCGAGGACCCGCCATAGATTGGTGGCGTGTCATCGTCACGAAGCCGACGGACTACACAACTCTACCGACACGGGAAGGACAAACCGGACCCTGGGCGCCGTCGTATTTCGTGGAGGTGCCCCAATATCGCATGTGGGACGCGTGGTGCGCAGGTCTGCACGCCCGATTTGAGCCAATCGTGGCTTCGATCGTGGCGCGTCAGAAGCTCCGCACTTGGCGCCAACTCGGTTCCGTCCAAGATTACACCAGCGGGTTTTTGGCGCTGTGTGAGCAGGTGGGCTACATGCACGAATCTGAGCGCATCGACCGCTACATCGGTGGCCTGAAGCACGACATCGCTCAGGAAATCCAGCTCCGCGGCGTCACCGACTTTCAAGAGATTCTCGCTATGGCAGAGAAACTCGATTTCTTCCGCCGACCGAGACCGGGGTCCTACGGAAGTAGCAGAAACTGGGGACATCGGTCTCGTGGGACGAACAAGGGTGCTTTGATACGTGCCGTCGCCGCGAATGCCGTTGCCGCACCATTCAAAGGGCGCTGCTTCGTGTGCAATCGGCCGGGACACCGCAAAAACGAATGCCCGGAAAACGCTAAGGGAAAGGGGGAAGCTGAGCAGCAGAAACATACCAAGCAGCAGGGAAACGTTGGGAGTCAGTAGCAGACGGGCCCTCTACTGACAGGTCACGCCCCTCGCCCGACCCAACCGACCCTCACCGAGTGATTGTGCCGGTTCACGCAATCGACCACACCCGGCCGAATAAGGAGGGTACCACGGTAGACAGCCCCATACTGCTTAATGGGAAAATTGGGACAGACTTAGTTAAAATATTCGTAGATGGGGGAGCCAGCCAGAGCCTCATCAACACTGCTTCAGCACGGAAGCTGAAACTGCCACTGGACAGATGTTTACCTGAGATCGACGCAAGACTGGTTGACGGCACGCCACTGGCGATATGGGAACGCGTGGACCGAGTTCGGATTTGATGTGGGGGTAACTTCACGTTTAGTCAGGAAATGCTCACGACAACCCTTGACGGAACTGACATTTTACTCGGCCGTGATTGGCTGCGACGACACAATCCACGAATCGACTGGACGACGGGTGACTGCACTGTGCGAGTGAACGGTAACAACATCGCCTCGCTGGAGCGCGCCTGAGTCTTCGCCGGTGCGTGTCAAGGCAATCACGATGAAACGCGCCGTAGCAACAAGAGCTGACGTGTACGCGGTCGACATTCGGGAAGCCAAGGTAGTAGACAAAGGGGGGGATTTATAGAAACTGCTAGCTGACGTACCGGATAACTTGGCAGCGCTACTGAAGCAGTACAGTGGGATTTTCCCGGATGACCTGCCGACAGGACTGCCACCTCAGCGACCGCACAACCAGAGGATAGAATTAGAACCAGGGGCACAGCCGACAGTACAGCGACAGTTCCGACTGACCCAACCCGAACTGGACGAACTGAGGAAGCAGCTAGATTACCTGCTCGAGAAGGAGTTCATTCGCCCGAGTTCGTCACCCTTCGCAGCACCGATACTGTTCACACCGAAAAAAGACGGGGGGTTTTGCATGTGTATCGATTACCGCGCACTGAACAGAGTTACCATCAAGTCCCGTTACCCCATCCCACGAGCTGACGAACTGATCGACCAACTGTGCACAGGCCGGGTTTTCTCGAAAATCGACCTTCCAGGAGGCTACCAACAGATCCGCGTCAACCCACCCGACTGCCCGAAAATAGCTTTCCGAACATGCTACAGATCCTTCAAATACACCTTCATGCCCTTCGGACTGACCAACACCCCCGCCACTTTTCAAATTACCATGAACGAAGCCTTCCGCCCGCTTTTAGATAAGTGTGTCATCGTGTATCTCGATGACATACTGATTTACAGCCCAGACCGAGCACAACACCTACAGGACATCGAAGCAGTTTTTAAAGTACTGAGTGAGAACAGACTACTGCCCAAGGCCTCTAAGTGTGAGTTTCTATAGGACAGACTGGAGTTTTTAGGACACATTATTTCAGCCGACGGAGTGGAAATAGACCCGAAGAAGATCGCGACGATTCAAGCATGGCACGCGCCGACAAATTTGACTGAGCTGCAGAGTTTTTTGGTGTTCGTCAACTACGTGCGCCGGTTCGTCCCCGACATGGCGAAGTTGACTGCTCCGTTGATCGACATGCTGACGAAGGGGGTTGAGTACACATGGGGGGAGAAAGAGCAAGCTGCCTTCTCGGCCCTCAAGAATTTTTTGTGCTCGTCGCCCGTACTTCACATCGCATATCCGCACCGTCCGTTCGAGCTCGTCACTCACGCAAATGATATCGCCGTGGGAGCAGTACTGTTGCAG